TGGAGATGCTTCCTTAGGAATCTGCAGTATACCACTGCAGAATGGAGAGCACATTTCCATTCTTACCAGACATCTTTTCATCTGGAATGACTGAACCTTCACAGCCTGGATGGCTTCATCCAAGAGTTTTTCCTGCTCATCCTGGGGTGACTGCTGTGTTGTAGGCTGAAATGAACATTTTAAAAACACTTTCATTAGTGGCTCATAAGCACTTTCTCCTAGCCAAAAAAAAAAAGTCATTTCTGTAGTTCATATCTAATTTATCAATTAAACTGACTCAAAATTCTGGCCTCAGCCTGGTATGAAGATGCACGCCTTTAATCCAAGAACATAGGAGGCAGAGGCAGGTAGAGGCCAGCCTGATCTACATAGTGAGTTCCAGATAGGGCTACATAGTAAGGCTGTCTCAAAATGAGCAAGCAAAAGCAACAAACAAACAAACAAGTAAATAAATAGATATTATCTGGAGTCAAAGAAACCTGTGGTGGTAGTTTATAGCTATGTTCTGTTAATATGCTATAAACCCAATTGGATCATAGTTGCATTGCCAAGTTACTATAAATCAAGCATAATCCAATTTTTAAGAATTTCGATTTCCCTCTCAACTACTCTCATCTACATTTTAATCTACTTTTTCAACGATAAATACATTTATAAGAACACAGCCCCTTCCCTCATAACAAATACTAAACAACTTGAAAATAAAACAGTTGGAATTGTTAATGACTTACAATAGAAAATGGTAAAGACAGTCTCAATACTATTTCAAAAACACAAACAGCAAGAAAGAACAAAGTGAATCTACACCTCCATGTCACCATCAGCAAAACCACCTGCAAAATGAACTCATTTTCCCTGTCAAGTAGAATTAACCAGCATTTCACGTTAAGTAACACCATGTTTACATTACCACCTCAGCATGCCTAACAATGTAACTATATATAATAATGAGTTTGAAATTCAGTATACACCATGTGCACTTCATAAATGTTCACTGCAGAGATGCACTGACTCTCGACCTTTCAGATCCTATATCTGATTCTAAAAACTACCCAGATTAATGGCAGTAAATATACACAATAGGCTATTGTTGAGCCATAAAAAGGTCTCTAGTATTGAAACATGCATACTGTATAAAAAATCTAGAAAACATTACACCAAATGAAAGAAGTTCAACACAAATGCATGTTGTAAGACTCCATTTATATGAAATAGCTTAAACAGATTACTAATTTAGAGGAGGAAAGGTGAGCAAATCACCAATTACTGAGTACAGAACGTTCTTTTGAGGCAATGAAAATATTTTGGAATAAAAGGGAATGTGTCAAAACCCACTGACTTGTATATTTTATGAAAATTTCATTAAAAATTTTTAAGACTGACCAGAGGAAAAGTGCTTGTCTACATAATCAATTAGAAAAGGTAGAAGAATTTACATATAAACATGCAAGTAAAATTTCATGTTTCAAATCTAAGACAACCAAAATACTTCATTAAGATTAAACAGCAGAAAAAAATCCACTTCTGAAATACAATAGTTTATAAAACCTAAGAGATCTGTCTTGATTTAATTTTGGATTGAAAACATTGTCTTGGTTCAATTTCAGATAAAGGAAAAAAAAAAAAAAGAAAAACTGAATAACGAGCAATGCCATGCACCTCCCTGTACTGCTTTTGCTAATAAACTAGGAAAGTGAGTTTTCCCACAACCATTTCTTTTCCAAAATTATAAATAAAGGGCTGAAGGGATAGCCCAGTGGTTAAGAGTGCTCAGTGCTCTTGCAGAAGACCTGAGTTCAATTCTGAGTACCCACATACTAGGCGGCTCACAACCATCTACCACTTTGGCTCCAGAGAACCCAACGTCTCTAGCCTCCACAGGCACCCACATTCACATGCACATATGAACATACATACACATTAATTTTCTAAATTAAAACTTACTTTAACTATAAATTAACTTCAAAGAAAGCATGTGTCTTAACTTTAAATAAACATTAATTTATACAAAAGAAATATTAGTATAAACTGCTTTTTTCAGAAGTAAAAGGGACAGTAGCACTTAGGGATTCAGACCTAAACTAGACATGGTAACTCACATCTATAATCTCAGCCTCCAGGAGGTTGAAGATTACAAATTCAAAGCCAGCCCCAGCTACAGAGAAAAGCCCTCTTAAAAAGAAAAAGAAAAGAAAGACTAAAAACAAAACAAAGCAAAAAAAAAAAGATTACAAATGAATGAAAAATAATAGAGTCTGATGTAGTTCAAGCTAGTCTTGAATTCACTTTGTAGCTGAGGATGGCCCTCAATTTCTGATCTTTATGTCCCTAGTGTGACAAGCACATGCCATTCTGTCCTGGTTTATATGATGCTGTGGCTAGAACCTGAGTGCTGCGCATATGCTAGGCAGACACTCCCACTTTAGCCGCCATATTCCTGGACTCAAACTCAATGAAATTTACTATATATTGGTTAGTCCTCTAAGCACTTTAGTAAATCAATCTCCATGTGTATGTGTCTGTATGTATATATATATATGTGTGTGTGTGTGTGTGTGTGTGTATATATATTCTCTGCATCTAAATATAATAGAGTTTACAAAAGCTCAAGTCAACTTAGAAGCAGTGATACAGGACTTTTAAGATTTATCACTTTTAATTGCATGTATGTATGTATAGTATGTATGTATGTCTGTGTGGGGGCATGTACAAGAGCTGGAGTTTGGGTCTCCAGCAAGAGTAAATGCTTGTAACTGCTTAGCCATCTCTCCAATTCTAGAACAACTTTATAACAGAAAGATTTACTACACACAGTGTGCTGGACAGTAACCATCACATTCCATCTCCAAAACATTTTCATCTTTCTAAATGGAAACTAAAGCCACTGAAGTTACCAACTCTCCCATATATTCTAATGTCCCTCAAATAAGCAATTTTACTACTTTAGGTACCTTGTATACATGGATATACACAGCATTTTTCCTTTTGTATATGGTTTATTTCATTTAGAGGTATATTCAAGGTTCATCTGTATGAAGGCATTTGTCAGAATTTTCCTCCTTTTAAAGACTGTATGTGTATATATGTATGTATATGTGCATATATAATTACATATATACATGTACTGATTCACTCACCTATAGAGATAGGGCTGTTTCCAGCTTTGGCTACTGTGTGTAAATAACCTTTACTATGCAAATATAAAATGGGCTGCAAGAAATCACACATTTCTGGTATAGATTAGAAAAACAGAATAGCACACACAGAGTTGTGACTGTGTAATAAGAGTAACAAGAGCTTCATAAGTGTAGCTGTTACTATATTACTTTTAAATGAAAGCAATTACCTCTACTGGTTGTCGGAACCTATTGGTTGGTCAATTTTCCCACTTATAAACTGCAGATGTAATGTGACAATACAACATAAAGCAATAGGAAAATAAAAACTATCCCTTAAAGACATGGAATTTGATCATGTTGATGAAAATGGTATTTAAAAACTGGTGATAAGGCACAAATGATGAGTAAGTAGGAACTTTCAAAACAATGTGGGCTAGGGAATTTGTGTTGGAGTTTGTGTCTAGCAGGTTGAAGGCCTTGGGTTCAATCCCCAGAACTGCATAAAGAAAGCAAACAATGAAAAAAAAAACCTACACTTTGAATTCCACACATACACTAACTTAGTAATATCCTGAAGGCCTTATGATGAAGTACTCCATGAACATTAAATAGCAATATTCTTCCTTCTCCGTGTTGAGAATTCCTGCTCATTCTCTTCAGAATCTGTTCACGTTACCTCCCAAAGTCTTCCCATGCTCCTGACACAGCTCTTTCTCATCGTAACCCCAAAGTACTGTTCTATAGTACGTCTCAAAAGCATGTCTTCTTCCCCAGATGTTTTACTAGTTGAACTGGATTCTTATTTCTAAGAGTGTCAATGAGATCAACACTTGTTTCTAGATGCAGAAGTGAGAGAGACTGAGTACCTGTTCAAACCCTAAAAACTGCCTATGACAGAACTGATACCTAGCTTTCGTTTTCAAATAAAATTCACAGGAAAAACTGTGCTCCAACCTGGTTCACCCAGCACATAAATGAAGTCTGTAAGGTATCCTCAAATGCTCTATGTAATAAAATATGTCAATAGCAATCGCTGAAAAAGCAAATTCATGAAAAACCAGATTCTGAAGTTAAATGTCACACTGATCACGTAAAAAATCCTGACTATAAAAGTTCTAAGCGGCGGGGGGGGGGGGGGGATCATCTTGTAAGGCAAAATATATTAAAGTAGTGCACATCAAAGATTAGCAAATCATGGGTGCAGAACTCAGCAAGCTGGAACGGAGGAGCATGAATACCAGGCTGGCTGGAGCCTAGCAAGATCATCTCCAAGCCCGACTCCAAAAAAGTCAACAACAAAAAGAATTAACGGCGTTTTTTTTTCTATTAACACACTTAAAGTGAAACATAGAATTCTGAATACAAAAATGTTTATTGTAATAATTAAAGCGGGCATAAGCATACCATCATCCAAAATCAGTATCCCTCCAGTGCAGATTATATTAAATGCTAGTGGGGTGCAAGTGGCAACTTGCCCTGTGGCAAATAGTCAGGATTCGAATTTTGAGGAAGTTCATGTTCGCAAGGCTACGGCCACACCTCGAGACGTGCTACCATCACAGAGAAACCAGAAGGAGAATGACTACTTGCAGCAAGTGAGCTAGAGTCCTCAGTTAACAGAGGAGAAAGGAGAAGCCGTTTGTCTGACGATGGGGTTCAGGGAAAGAAAGCCTGAGTCCTTCGGGAAACTCACGTGAACAGGTCCCTAGAATTCGCTGACAGGCAGTGCATGACCAGTGAGTGGGGCTATGCGGCCACGGAAGGCCGGGGGACCGCTGCGGCTCCACTGACAGATTTTTCTAGCAGAGAAAAGCCGTGGGGCCCGCGAGCAGAGCGGAGCACAAAGGTGCAAACGCATCATCCGGGCGCGTCCCACCCAGCTAGAGCGCCAGCCCAAAGCTCAGACGCTCATCGCAGCCTCAACTCCACCTTCGGCGCCGCAGACCTGGGACTCCGACTCTCACGGGGAAGGCGGCCATTCCATACAAGAGGCTGCTTGCAGGCCTCCACGACACCCAGAACCGCCAGCGCAAGACACGCCTAAGAGAGGCCGCCTGGTCTCGGGGCAAAGAGCAGATCCGGCGCCACCGCCCACCGCAGCCCACCGCAGCCTACTCGCGGCCTTCCGCAGCGCGTGCCCTCTCCCGCAGGCCCAGCCCGGCTAGGACCGGCCTCGATCGGAAGGTATGGTCCCCCTACTCTGCCCGCAAGCTTCCCTCCGCTGGGAGAAAGCGAGGACTGCCACGGGGGCAACCCGCTGACCCACCGCTTCCTCTCACTCACCATGGTGACTCCGGGGACCCGCAAGCAGCAGAGCCTACTCCGCCGGAGCCGCCCGCCGTCAGGTGACGCGGCCACCCGAGCCCCGCCCTCCCTAGCCCCGCCCTCGGCCGGCAGCGGCTTTTCGATTGGCCCACTTCAAGTCTCGCGTGGTTTCGGGAAGAGAGGCGGAGGGCAGCGAGCTGTGGACGCGGTGGGGCGAGCCTAGTACTGCGCCGCGGCGGGCTACGGTCAGCGGGGAGGGAAGCCGTGGTTGCCGGGGTTCGCGGCGGCAGACGGAGGGCAGCGGCGGAGCTCTGCGCTCCTTCCCTTCCCCGGCACCAGCGCATCTTCGTGTGCTCTTGCGCAGAAGGAAGACCGGGATTGGCTGGTACGGGACAGTCTCCTTTCCTTGTCGCAACCAATCTGGATGCGCCGGGGGCGGGTCTGAGCGCCCTGACGGTCCGTTTCGGCGCGCGTTTCTTCCAGCCATGGAGTCGGCGGCGCTGGTGCGGCGCCTCGCCCCGCGCCTCGGCCTTGCGGAGCCCGGTGTCCTGAGGTGAGGTGCGGCTGTGCGTGCTGGGCTACGGCCCTGAGTCCTCCCAAGGCGACGCCGGGGCCACTGGCGGTGCGGGAATGACCTCGCTCTGGTCTGGGCGAGACCCAGGCGGCCCTTCCTCGAGGACAACTTTCGGGCTTGTGGCAGGAGTGGCCCGGGTAGCCTCGGTTTTTAGAAGCCCCTGAGATTGGGAGGATCGTTGTATTGTTTGTCGTTGGAAGTGAAGCTGTTGCAGGCAAGCGTATAGACACAACCGGTTCCCGAGAGTCTCGGCACCCAGGGGGGTGTGGGGAGGGGAAGAAAAGAGCCCTAGTTACATGTGAAGATGGGGCTCCGTAATCGTTAAAATAGCGGGAATAGCGGTTCGTGCATTGCGGCCCCGAATCCGCCGCAGCCGCAGTGTCGTCTTGTTAGAAGTAAAAAGTTCATAAGCCTCATCCAGGACTACTGGCCAGAAATGGCATGAGACTCAGAACTGTTTTCACAAGCCGCCCAAACTGAGAACCGCACATTTAAGGAAGAGAAAAATAATTTGATTTTCCTCTAACCTGCCTGCCTTCAACTCTTTGTACTTCTTCAGATAACGTTAGAAGGAAAGGGGTTGTTTGGGGGAGACTTAAATTCACGTTTCTTTAAGAAGCACTTGGCCACAGCTAAGTCTGTAGTCATTTTGGTCCTATCTAAAGAACTTGACCTCCTCAAAGAATCTGTATTCTGTGCCCGGGAGGGACTTGTACAGAAGTTAGGTGAGGTGTGAATCTGCTGCATTCAGTTCTTTGCGGAAGTGCTGGGCAAAGCTCGGGAACAGTTTGAGTGAGCATACTGCCTCTTCCAGGAAAGCAGAGGAGTACTTGCGGCTGTCTAAGGTGAGGTGTGCCAGTCTGTCGGCGCACAGCTCAGAAACCAGCAGCGCTGTCATATGCCTGGACCTTGCAGCCTCCTGCATGAAGTGCCCCTTGGATAGAGTAAGTAGGTTCCCTGGGACATCTGAATGATCTGATGTGAAACTCAAGCTTCTTGCTTCATTTTAAGCTTCTTGGGGGCGGTTTGGTTTCTTTTCATGTTGCTTGTGATAAGTTACCCCAATAAAAACGGCTCACAGGAGAGGGTTTCTAGCTCCTAACTCAAGGGTACAGTCAAAGCAACTTGAAGAATCTGCATGGCAGCTAGTCTGGAAAAAGAAATCAATGAATTACTGTACCTGGTTCACTTTCTCCTTTACACAGTCCAGGATCCTGTGGCAGAAGTTATGTCGCCCACAGTGAGCAAGCTTTCCACCGAGTTAACCCAGTGACATAATCCCCATAGGCATGCCCAGAGACACTTCTCGTGAGTCTAGATCTCCTCAAGGTGAAAGCTGAGATTAACTCTCACAATTGGAGGTTAATGTTTTAGAATATTGGAGTCAAGAAGAGTCACAGTTGAAACCAAATGTCAGTACTAGTTACTAGCTCTGTGAGCTGCCTGTTTCTTCATCCATGAAATAAGTATAGAAAATGTTGCCACATGCCTTTAACCCCAGAACTCTGTGAATTCGAGGCCAGCCTGGTGTATGAAGTGAGTTCCAGACAGCCAGGACTGTCACACAGAAAAGCCCAGTCTTGAACAACAAAGCAGAAAGTCTCACTGGTTATTATTAGAGAAGTCTATCTTTATGTAATGTATCTAACAGTGCTTGTGTCATAATTGATGTATTCATTAAAAGCTCTGTTCACTTTCTATTGCTATCCAGTTCTTCAATGTCTTTTACCCTGACCTCACACTATAAATTCACTTACCAACTTGTAGTTTTGTAAATGCAACACCGCCTCCATTCTTTTCTGCCAAGTTCCCTTTGTCTTAATGGGACTCTGTTTTGTTGTTATATCTTTTATGAAGCTCCCCAAACATCCCCAGAGGGAGTTGGTTCCCTGTTATGGAGGAGCATCCTGCTCCTCTCCCTGTCTTCCAGACACACACCTTCCTCACCCTACTCCCAATATTTCCCTGATTTTTTCCAGTATAATTTGCACATTTCCACCAAAATCATATATTTGTCTCCCTCTGGGTATTTTGTGCAGTTTAAACAAGCTGTACTGTTTAATCATTTTAAATTATTTGTGCACATGCATGATTGTACCCTTCTGTGGGGTGAGTTCTTTGAAATAGTGGTCTGCTTGCTGTGATTGTTGATTTCTGAGTTAAATAAAATCAGTACATAATTAATGCCATTTAATAAATATTTAAGAACAGTAATAGATTGAACTTAAAATTTGTGTGTTTTCTTCTCAAAGGCTTACTTAATTAAGCTCTCTGGCTTGAACAGGAAGATGTATCAAAGCTGTCTTAAATCTTTTGAGTGTTTACTGGGATTAAATTCAAATGTTGGAATAAGAGACCTCGCTGTACAGTTCGGCTGTACAGAAGCAGTGGACGTGGCTTCGGAGATACTGCAGAGGTGTGTGTTATTTAAACACTTTCTTGTTTTATGTGTACCAGGGTTTGCCTGCATGCTTGTCTGTGCACCACATCCGTGCCTGGTGCCCTCGGGTCAGAAGGGGGTATTCACCCATCCCTTGGACTGGAGTTATGGACCAGTGTGAGTCACCACTTGGACACTAGGAACTGAACCCAAGGTCCTCTGCAAGAGCAACAAGTGCTCTTAGCCACTGAACCATCTCTCCAGCTCCTAAATAAATACTTTTTTAAAATTCTGAGTCAGTTATTACAGCACAGCCAACAAAAAAATGCTAGCAATAGGTCAGGACAAGTCAAGTTGGAAGCTAGGTGAGGCTACACCAAAGTTATGTTTTGTTTTCTAAATTATTGCATTGCATTTTCAATAATACTTCCTGACAAATAATTCCACAAGCAATCCTGTCTCCTAGCTACGAGTCCAGTCTTACCGAAACACAGCGAGCAGACCTCGACTTGTCCAGGCCACTGTTCACCACTGCTGCACTGCTTTCAGCGTGCAAGTGAGTGGGGTTTGGGGGTGGAGGGAGGGTTACTGTGTTGTTGTCGTTTTTTTTTGTTGTTGGTTTGGTTTTTTTTGGAGCTGAGTTTTGCTGTGTAGTCATTATGTACCCCACGCTGGACTTAAACTCATGGTAATCCTCTTGCCTCAGACTCCCAAATGCTGAGATTTCAAGTGTATGTGCCTCAACACCGGCTCTAGTCTTAAGTGTTCTTCTACCATTGGGAAATGTTGCCAGTATGTAAGTTTTCCATTCCTAAAGAATACAGCTAATTTCACTCACTCCAGCTTAGCACATTTTCTACTGTAATCCTGTAACATTATGGTTTGTGGTCTGCTGATCAGATTCTTGGGTTACTTGGTAATACAGCTGCCAACTTAGAACTAGTGTTTCAAGAAGTGTACTTGCCAGGTGGCAACCATGTATCTAGGCAAAGTATTCTCATTCAGACTACAGTAAAATTTGTCAAGACAGTGGTCATGTTTGGTTTTCCAGGCACATTGTTTAAAAAGTACTGCCTACAAATGTTCATTTGAGTATAAAACATTTCTAAATTTGATGCTGGGTTGTGGTGGCGCACGCCTTTAATCCCAGCACTCGGGAGGCAGAGGCAGGCGGATCTCTGTGAGTTCAAGGTCAGCCTGGTCTACAGAGCTAGTTCTAGGACAGCCTCCAAAGTCACAGAGAAACCCTGTCTCAAAAACAAAACAAACAAAAAAATCTTACGTTTGAATCATCAAAATATTTAGTTATCAGTACACATACTGAATTACTACCATGAAATACTAATAATTTTTATATCTTTGAAGTTGTATTATTTCACCTTTTGAGAGAACTTTCTACAGAAAAATCATGAAGTAGTCTGTTAACAAAATGTATTTCTTACTATCGAGTCATTAATTTTGGTGTATTTGGCTTGATTAGCAGCATACCTAGGAGTGATTGTCATTCATGGATAATATCCATTCAATTCAACAAGGGTATGTGGGTGTGCAAGGAAGGAATGTAGTTGACGTTACACAAAAAAACTGAAAATAGTCAAATAACTCCACCTTTGGAATTATATTAAATTGAGCAAGAAATGGTCAATTGTCGTGTGTGTGTGTGTGTGTGTGTGTGTGTGTGTGTGTGTGTGTGTGTGTGTGTGTGTGTGTGTACCTGTGGAGTCCAAAAGAGGACATTGGATCCCCTGGAACTAGAGTTACAAGGTGGTTGTGAACTACCATGTGTGTGCTGGAATTGAACCCAGGTCCTCTTAAAGAGTAGCACATGCTCTTAACCACTGAGCCATCTCTCCAACCCCAGGTGTTTTGTTTTATTTTTAATTGCTTGCTCTAGAGGAATATGAGCAGGGTTTGGGGCTTTGGAGAGTGGGGCAAAATGATATGACACTCCTGTATAAACAGAAACATTCTCAAAGTGTGTTGAACACTTAAAAAAATTATGAGTCCATTCTGCAAATTGGTAACATCTAAAAGGCATGAAGTGCTACAACAGATGTCTTTATTTGCCCCATTTATTGCAGAACAGATGCATTTTAGCTCTCACTCAGTTCAATAAGAAAGCAAATTTACAAGCTTCTGCTAATGGCATTTGGAATAAAGGGAAATCTAGACAGCTGGAGAATCTTAGTAAAGTGTGGGCAATGGGTAATAATTTTGTAATCTGACTTACCTAGAAGATTTGTAATATGAAAAAGCAAAGTTATGAAATTATTTTTTAGAATTCTGAAGCTAAAAGTGGACAAAACTAAAATGATAACTACATCCGGTGTGAAAAAAGCAATATTTGATCGGCTATGTAAGCAGTTAGAGAAGATTGGGCAGCAGATTAACAGTGAGTATTCTGTAGTTGAAAAATGCTGATTTATGAATTCTTTAATGAAAAAATTGACGTGTTAGTTCTTCAAATAACAGTGGTTTAGTGCCTTTAAAAAATGATTCTACAAGCCCACACCTAGAAAATAGATATTTTAAGAAATATCAGTGTCAGCTAAGCAGTTATCCCACCACTCAGGATGTAAAGGCAGGCAGATCTGTGTTTGAGGCCAATCTGGTCTATAAAGTGAGTTCCCGGTAGGTCAGCCAGCACTACATAGTGAAATCCTGCCTCAAAACAAAGAAACTCCAGTGCTAAATGCCAGCCTCTGAGTTCATGAGCTAGGATGGAAGTGATTCTCATGTCTAACAAGAGAGGCACCCAGAAAAGAGAAAGCAAGATTATCTGCCTTTCCTTCATCTCTCTTTGCTCCTTTGGGCTTTGAATTTCTGTGATCCAGCTAAGGACCTATATGATCAACTAAAACTGAATTAAAAAATTAACCTTGAAACCACTTTCCCTTTTCCGAAAGGAGACTCTGGAGATTTAGCCAGTCCAGCACCGAAGAAAAAGAAGCCATTGGTTGAACTGCCAGCAAAAGGTAGGGCATACTTAGCCGTGCTGGTGCTGAAATTTATGCAATATGATTTATGCATTGAGCAATCCTGTGACTCTCCCAGCAGTTTACATGACAAGAGAAAAGTCTGACCACTAACTAACTCTTGATAAGACCTATGTTTCAAGCCAGGCGTAGATGTACACATCTGTAATCCTAACACTCAAAGCATAGACTCAAGAGGATTGCTGTAAATTCAAGGGCCGTATGGTCTATAGTGAATTCCAGGCTAACATGGACTACACATTGATACCATCTCACAGCAACAACAAAAACAGTCTTTTAAGAAATAATTAAGTGGAAGTAACAGAATTGTAAGTAAAAATATATCTAAAGTGTCAAAAATAAAAATACTCCTAATTTTTAAAAGTATGTGTAGTACAAGCATGGTGATGCACACTTTTAATTGCAGCACTTCTTTACTCCTTTAATAGCAGCACTCAGGCAGATCTCTGAGTTCAAGATCAGAGTGGTCTACAAAACAAGTTCTAGACCAATGAGACCACACACACACACACACACACACCAATACCAATGTATGTGAGTGTGGGTCACTAAGCTGCCTGGGTTCATATCTTGCTTTGTTGCTGTTAACATCTTTAAGCAAGTTAAGTAGAATTTAGCAGAGATTGACTCATAAATTGGGCAGTGTCAAACCCAAAACTGGTTCAGAGACCCCTACCTATTAGCTGAACAACAAGTCTTAGTAGACTGAACCTATTGAGTCAAACCACTTCATTTAAGTGTGATCTAATGGGAGTTCCCTATTTGAATAACCAGAAAGGTAACTTTTGTGATTGGCTACTTTTTCCTTAAAAATATATTTTCAAGTTAAATTCTAGTTACTTACATAGGAGCTCTAGCTACAAAGACAATCCGATGCTAATGGCCTCCTGTTTAATTGCTTAACACCACCCCCCAGCTTTGTGCATTTGAAAAGGTAATACAACTTCAACAAGCTTCGATTTCCTAATCTGTAAAACCTGATTAATGTTAGCACCTACTTCTTAATGTTTGTGATGTTGCTCAGTGTCTTAGAACACTTAGCTGTAGGAGAAAGAAAAGCAAAACCTTCATGTTACATCCACTTTAGGGTCTTACTCTTTCGCCTTAATGGAAGTAGATACTTTTAGTTTTCACTTTTATGCCATTTGTAAATTAAGTTTGAAATTACTTTTGATAACTTTCTCTTACAGAACTAGAAGAAGTAATAGAAACCCCAAGTAAGCCAGCAAAAGATGAAGGTCTGACACAGGATTATGAGGAATGGAAAAGGATGATTTTGGAAAATGCTGCCAAAGCTCAAACAGCCACAGCAGAGTGATTCCCTTTCCACTGCTGTCCTGTGCTTTGTCCTGTGAAGGGCAGTCTTGTCTGAACTTATACACCGGGCATGCTGAGGACTGTCTCAATATGGAAGATACCAGCACAGGCTCCTCATAGGGAAATAGTTCAGCCATGCCACCTGCATAGACTCAGGTCTGTCTTCTCCTGTGGGAGGGAACTGGGACCATCTTGCTTCTCTGTGTTAAGCTTCAGGAAGTCTCCTATCTTAACCAAGAATTCACATTTCAAGCTGAAAGTCATCTCAGGCATTTTACTTGTTTTTGTGGTTTTTAATTTTATTTCATTAAATCAGAGTTATACGGCCTAACTTAATAAATGCATTTGTTTTATTTTATGTTTATGAGTACTCTGCCTGCATGTATGTTTGTGCACCACATGTGCCTGGTGCCAGTGGAGGCCAGAAAAGGATGCCGGATCCACTAAGACTAGAGTTTCAGACAGTGAGCTGCCATATTGGTGCTGGGACTCCTTGGTGCTCTTAACCACTGAACCATCTCTCCAGCCCAATAAATGTTATTTTTGTATGCATTTGAGTTGCAGTTCTCAGCTTTGAGTAATCTTTATTAAGCCAAAATCCTTATCCGCCAAAATGAAAAAGCCCATGTGTACTGAGCCCCACTACTCCCTGGAACCCAGACTCAGACTTCCTGGGTTTAAGACAAATTCTGCTTTGTCATTTGAACAAATACAATTAACTTCTGCTTGCTCCATCTATAAAGTGGAAATTAAAAGGTACTTACTGCTTTGACTATGGATGTATCTCAGTTGCTCTAGTGACTGTCATGCTCGAAGGCACTTCATTAAAACCAGGCATAATGCACCCCACTAATCCTAGCACTTAGGAAGAGAAGACAGGAGAATCAGAAGTTCAAAGTCATTCTCAACTATATAATGAGTTTAAAGCTAGTGTGGGTTTCCATGAAAACCTGTTTGACTGCTGCCTAAAGTAGCTGAGAGGCATATCAAACCCAATGCGTGAAAGCATATAATACAATATCTGCTGTCAAGAAATACCCAATAGATTTAAAATACACAGAGGCCTGATAATGATTTACATATTAACACCATTTTGTGCATTATACAATGCACCAAAGTTTGTTTCTTTGTGTATATCCATACACTAAAAAAAGTTATGTGTTCATGGTGTCTCTTCACTGCAGTAGAAACCCTAAGTAAAACATTAAACATTTAACTAGGATGGTTTGACTACAAACTGCTCAGGACAATTCCAAGGTGGTAACTGAGTTGGTTCAACCTCTTGCACCACTCTAGCTAGAACTTCAGATAAGCTTTACCCATTACTCAGAGACTGACTACAAATATTGCAACTTGTCCTCCTCAGACTTAAAACCATTGTTTTAGTTTTTGCAGGGTCCCTTAGTGATACCATTCCCCCCCAGAAAGCAGGAAGTAATTCTAAGAAAATGACATCCCCTTTCCCACTAGGTGGGGTGGGTGGTTTTTTGTTTTTCTCAGGGTTACAGACAATTGTCATCTGTAGGGGTGGTAATAAGTTGTTAGAGGGTTGGGGATGGAACAATAGAGCTTAGACTCAGAGATCGCATTTGGAATAGAAAAAAAGAGGATAGATATGGTAGAATAATAAGTTAGATTATTAGATCTACCTGTAAACTAAAACAACAAATCAGCTTTAAATAATTTACATTGGTATTGGTTCTTGTATAGTGATACAAATTCAAAGTTATTTTTGTTTACTGTGTATGTTTCTATTCCTGTTTAAGATATTTTTATATGTTGATATGAATTTAAATTATATTTGTTATAATGTATATTTATTCCTACTTCTGTTTAAGATTTTTGTATATTGAGACAAATGTAAAATTTTTTTTGTTATATTGTATATATGTTTCTTGTTTAGGATATTTTTGTATATCGATACAAATTAATATTATTTTGTCATATTGCATTATACATTTCTACCTCTGGTTAAGATATTTTTGTTATTTTATCACAATTTCAAGGTTATTGTCCTTACACTGTACATCTGTTTCTATTTTTGCACAAGGTATTTATCTCTCTAGCCTGTGAAGTTTTAGTCCTTAAGCTATGTAAGTTATTAAGAATTACAGGTTAATAGTCACCCATGTTTGTCAAACTTATGTTAGTTAGGTTTTCTAGGCATGCAGAGGTATGTTCGAAATAGATAGGTGATCTTCAAACACTTCAAAGACCTACAGAATAATGACATTTTAAATGTTTTAATAAGTTACAATTCTTTTGACATGAGACAACACTTCTGCTCCTGGCAGCACCAGTCTACTCCTGAGAGGATGATGGGCACCAAAAATACTTCATATGGAGCTTGTTTTCTTTTTGGCAAAACTGGTCTATTGAGCGAAGAACTGCCCTTGCCTCAACTGCTGACAGTAAGCATGCTGTCCATTCTGGACAAACAGAACACAAAAATGACTACCAAAGTTTGCCAAGACAGGGTAGGACAGTCCTTCAAATTTTCCTGCTTCTATAAGCCAAAGTTGGATGACCCAGTGTTACAGAGAGACCTTGGGTGACTGATTGTCCAAGCAGCCTGCTGTTCCTGTCATTCCTTGCATTTTTTGGAAGTTGCTTGTTTGAACTACCTGTTACTCAGGTAATATTATTTTCCTTCTCAGGTCTTTGATGGGGTTGAAGATTTGACAATTACAGTTACAATCCTCATGATGTGACCCAATAAAACCCAGGGGGAAGAGTGGACAGTGTGGGAGCTGGCAGAGCCATGACTTGGAGCTTCCCCTTTGCCCTTTGCCCTTTGGGAATAAGGGTTACAGTGCAGTTGCAGAAAGCTGGTCCCCTAGTGGGAACAGTGGAGTACCTGGTGATACAACTCGAATTCCTCATTCTGTCTTGTAATAATTTTGCACAGATTTGATGTTTATAAAAGGGAACACAATCCACAGACTTCCTGCATTACTCTTGAACCAGCTCCCAACATTTCATGCCATTTTCAGCACCATTGTCTTCCATGCTCCTACAAGGATGGCCCATTAAGCAGTACTTAATGTGTTCAACTGCTTTTCTAATCCAAAGTCCATCCACAGTCCCAAGGTCCATTGTTATTCCAAACAAAATATGGCCAGGCCTATCACAGCAGTACTCCAATCCTTGGTACCAACTTCGTCTTAGGGTTTACTATTGCTGTGAAGAGACACCATGACCATGGCATCTTGTAAAGGAAACAAAGGTGGCTCACTTACAGTTGATCATGAAGGGAGCATGGCAGCTTGCAGGCAGCCATGGTGCTGGAGCTGAGAGAGAGGCAACAGGAAGTCAGTTGATTATCACACTGAGGGAAGCTTGAGAAAAAGACCTCAAAAGTCCACCTCCACAGTGGCACGCTTCCAACAAAAGTGTGGCCCAGGTTAAAGGTGTGCCCTCTAGCCTCAAGGTCTGGACTAGAAGCTTGCCTCCACCACCTTCCTCAAACAAGACCACACTTCCTCCAACAAGGTCACACCTCCTAAAAGTGCCAGTCCCTGTGAGCTTATGGGGGCCAAATACATACTAATTACCGCAGTCATGTAATTCTTGCTTCTTAGTTCAATTTTCTTGGAATGCCTTTTCATAAGCTTCCCTTCTGTGTATGTGTTTGTCTTTGAGATTGAGATGAATTTTGACAGGCAAGAAAAACTGTTCTGTTTTCTAAAACATTGCAATTTGTATCATTAGTATTCCTAATTACTGTGAGGCATGTGTTAACTCTTCCCATGATTCTTGTTTTTCCTTTTCTTAATTGCTCATATAATGGCCTATAGATTCACATATGTATGGGTGTTTTTTTTTGTTTTGTTTTGTTTTGTTGGTGTTTTTTTTTTTTTTTTTTTTGGTTTTTTGAGATAGGGTTTCTCTGTGTAGCTTTGGAGCCTATCCTGGAACTCACTCTTTAGACCAGGCTGGCCTCGAGCTCATGGAAATCCACTTGCCTCTGCCTCCTGAATGCTGGGATTTATGGCATGTACCACCAATGCCCAGCTATGTTTTCTTTATATTTGGGGAATAGGATTCCTTTAAGTATCTTTTGTAGTGCTGGATTTGTGGTCATGATTTAGTTTCTGTACATCCTGAAAAGCTATTGAATGTTGATGGAAATGTTTGCTGTACATAATAATTTATGTTGCCAGTCATTGTCATTCAGACCTTGGGACATATAATTTCATGTTCTCCTGGCTTTTATGGTTTCTATTAAAATTTTTACTGTGATTCTCACTGCTTTGCCTACATAGGGGACTTGTTCCTTCTCTTGTGTAACTTTCAATTCCTTATTTTTATTTGTATGTGGAGTTTTAATTTTAACTTGACATTTATTCAAGCCATAAAGGGTTTTTTTTCCCACTGATTTTTTTTCTGTTGGTATTCTAAATGTCCCTGAATTGTATGGTCTTCTCTGTAGATTTTGGAAAATCGTGCAATGATTTCATTGTAGAAATCTATGTATTTTCTTCTTCTCTCATCATGATTTACAATGTAAACTTTTAATAATGTCCGAAAGATATCATACATACATTGTTTTCATAATTCCCTTATTTAAAATTAAGAATTATGTGGTCTAATATCACTATTATTTTTATTTCCTTTTAGAAAATTTCATGTAATATATTTTGATAATATATACCATCCACTTCTCCTTCCAGCTTCCCCTATGCTTTTGAACCTCTCTCCTACCCATCTTTCTGTACTGATTTAAAATAATTTTTATCTTCTTATCCTTAGTACGAATGAATGTTCTAGCTTATCTTGTTGTTGTTCATACCTCATAATCCGTCTTTCATTTGATTCATTATATTTGTGAAGCTACTGAATTTTAAATCTTTGACTCAGTGGGGTTCTCATATCTCAAATTTCAGTTTATTTTATCAATATTTTTAGCATTGACTTTTATTACACATAGTGCCGATGTGGATGTATTCCATACATGTGTGGGTTCCCTCAAGAACAAAAAGAATGCATTGGAACCCTAAAAGCTGTTTTTATAAGTGGTTGCAGGCCACCTGAGATTCATGTTCTCTGGAAGAGCGTTAACTGCTTTTAACTATTGAGCCAACTCTATAGTCCCCTAATTTCATCAGTATTTTTATCTCCATATGAAATTCTTTTTTGATGCCCTTTATTGATGTCCTGATTCCATTTAGCTGCTTATTAGTATTCAGTAAAAATTCACTGGTATTTTTGTTGATTAAATTAAGCATTCTTTAAATTATACATTTAGATAGTTCATTCTCATTATAATCCCCGACTGTAGAATTAGTATCTTTATGAGTCACAGGGCTTGAGTTCTCCTGTTTTACATTTTTCCACATTGGACCTGGCTAATATGTG